CAATGCTTACTTCCACTTAATCACACTTACACTTTTTAAGAATAAGTGTTGAATACCCCTGCTCTGCCGAAGCAGGTAATTTCTCATAAAGACAACAGCAAAGCCTGAGAAGGTTTTGTCAGAATGCCTTCTCAAAACAACCAAGTTGCTCATTTCTCTTTACCTCACTGTCTCTGAGGTTTGTATCCCCTCCAAATATAACAGTCCTGGACTCAGACTCCTTCTGCATTTSGTTTAACACTATTTGCAGCTGTTTTATACGTTCCTTAGCATGATCTTTAGTGCTCTCCAGATGAGAGGTCATAAGGCAAAGCTCAATACCAGATACGCTCACCTATATGTGAAACAAAGAGACAATGTTACCATGCACAACACCATAAGAAGCTCAAAGACAAAATCTAATCACAAAGAGAATTACTGAATGACAGAGTTCTGGTTAATATCAGATTTACAATGAAGACAAGTGGCTTACAGAAGGAAAACTGGCTTCTAGTTTTGTTTTCAGAGGTTATCAGACTTGAAAACAAAGTATGGCAAACAACTTCCATAAAAGATTTGAGTTTGTCAGTATCAAATTACACTGGGTTTGTATTCTTGGAGAAGTTTTTCTGCTGCTAAAGACTGTCATAGAGAAAAAGGCAGTTAAGCCTTTCCCGGGATTTTTTGTTCGGAAGGAAGAAATCCAGCTGTTTAGTACATCCTGATTCACTCACATGCACAACCAAAAGGTTCCKCTTCATGGCAGTTGTTGGAAAAGGTATTATCTCATGTTTCAGTAGCTTCACTCTTGATTTCTTTAACATTATTACAGTGAAATACTCATCTATGTTACCTAAAGAGGACCAAGGAAAGAAAGGATTGAAGATACCTTCTTCTATGCCATAAAGCAGTTAAGGTTCTGAAAGAGACATTTTTACCACAACCTGTGAGAATACGTTGATTTTTAAATCATTAGTGAAAAGTTATGTAATGATGGTGTGAAAAGTATTTTTCAGATTTTTCAAATGCAAATACTTAAAATATTTATAATATTTAATACTTAAAAAATCACTTATGTATGGTACTTTTTGGCTACYCTTGCTACCAGTCTTTCAAAATGCAGAAAAAAGTACATAGGAAACCACTTGAAAAGCATGCATAATTTACATCAAGTTGTACGCTGATACCAAAACACAGAAACATTTACTGCTTCTTTCTTCACTGTACTCTTTATACTCTTTAAAATGGTTGAAGGTTTTGGCAAAGGAAACAGAATAAACCCAAACTTTATTTTCTGTTTTTTTGTCTCAACTGAGGATTTTTTCTTACCTGGAATAACAGTGTAATTGCCTGCTTTCATCTGGAGAAGAGAGAGRTGTGGTGGGATGACTTCTTGTAAAAACACAACATCTGGATTGTATCTGAAATCAGCAAGGTAAGATTTTCAATTAATTACTGAAAAGTAGTACTGCAATATTCTGAGACCAAATGGAACAGAGTCAGGGATTTCAGGGACCTTGCCTTCATTTTCCTAGGTATATTAGGAATCTGTTCTTTAAAAAAAGAAAAAACTATCTGCACCATATTTAGCAGCACGCAGATACCATTATTATTAAAAGCAAGCAAACAATTATTATTATGAACACAAAACTGAMATGGTAATAAAATGCCTGACTTCCTCATTCCACAACCTTGCAGGTTTCATATACTACATACATGAAGAATTCAACTTAAGCAGCTGCAAAGTAGCTTTGGGACATGTTCTCCAGAAGATTCTAACCACGCCAAGTAAAAAATGATTTAGTTAAGGGGTTTCAGCTGTTTTGAGAGGAAATTAGCACTTGTTTAAATAGCTTAATCTACACTGACAAATTTCTGTATTAATATAAATCAATCTATGTAACTGTTGAATCGCTCATAAATATATTGAAGGCAGGCCTCCATTGCTAGAAAAATAAAAGATAAGCATGGATTCTCTTGCTTTTATCTTGCACTTCTTTTTTGATAGACAACTAACAGTAAAAGCAAGAGAAAAAAATGCACTAAAAATCTTTATTGCTGTTTCAAATAGTTTACTCTAGCATGAAGTTATTCACACTATTGCAAGTTTCTTGCAGTTTTACCCTTCTCATGTAGGGGATACAAGTATAAAATGTTCTTGATGTATGACTGCAACTTGAACAATATTGCTTATTATTAGATTTTTAAAGCAGCCATTTCGAAATATTTAACCTTTGGGATGCTGCCTAGGTTCACATCTCTAACAGTCAGTAAAACAATTCTCAGCTATTTAGGATTTATAGGGTGATTGTACAGTGCATCTAACATTAAGGTAATAGGGGGCATGAAGATGTGTAAATACTTAAATCAATGAAGTTTTTTTTCTTCTGTTGAATCCAAGTACATGACAATAGAAAGAGGAGGCTACACTTACAATGCCAGGTATGTACAGATTCCTCTAGCTCGATCTTTCAGATTTCCTAGATCCAGCCCATCAATGTTCCAGGTGATTAGCGAGAAGTTGCTGTCATCTTCTTTCTGCTCTGAGTCTGCATTATCGACACTGGCACTACTTGTAGTTGCATCTCCTGTGAGGTCAATGCTAAAGAGAGAGTGTACTTGTTTGTCAACATGCATAATACTAATTTATCTGTGATTACCTCCCTGATGTTCTAAAGCATCTATTTATCTCAACATTATTTAAAAGCATAGTAACTAAAACAGACCCCAGTCACAGAGCTGCAGTAMGCAGGTGAAGTAAATGGYTCTTCCTCCTCCTTATAGACACAARGTAACATTTACCATTCTGATTTAAGTTAATCAGATGGTGACCAACATAATCCAAAGCACTTGAGTAGTTCAGCTCCTTCCCCATGCTCCCACTCTTTCCCCATGTTCTTCAGGAACAGGCTGCTTCAAAGTGGATTCCTCATGGGGTCCAAACTGTTCCAACTTGTGCTCCTCTGTCCATGTGTCCACAGGTTCTGCCAGGAGCTGCTCCAGCATGGGCTTCCCACAGGATCACAGCCTCCTTCAGGCATCCACCTGCTGCAGTGTAGGGTTCTTCACAGGTGGAACCGGTGAATCTCTGCTCCCCTGTGGTTCTCCATAGGCTGCAGGGGCCCAGCTGCCTCACCCTGGTCTGCACCACGGGCTGCAGGGAATCTCAGCTCCAGCACCTGGATCACTTCTTCCTCTTCCTTCTTCACAGATCCTTGCTGTCTGCTGAGATGTTTCCATTTCTGTCTTCTGTGGCGGCTATGGTTGTGCAGCAACTTTTTAACCTTAGTACATTATCCCAGAGGCRCTACCAACACCACTGATGGGCTCAGCCTTATTCTGCAGTGGGTCTGTCTTGGAAGTCAACAACATCGGCTTTGTCAGACATAGCAGAAGCTTCTGGCAGCTTCTCACAGAGGCCACTCCTGTAGCCCTTCACTATCAAAACCCTGCCAAGCAAACCTAATACAGGATAATGTTGATGTTTTGACTATTGCTAACTGGCACTTACCCCACCCAAGAGCACTTTTCAGCTTCACAAGTTCTGCCAGTGAGCAAGTAAACAAGAAGCTCGGAACAAACGTAAATGGAAGGGCTGATCTGAACTGGCAAAAGGGATATTCCATACCACAGATCATCATGTTCAGTGAATGAACGGGAGGGAACTGGCCAGAAGCAGCCATTTGCTGTGTAGAATTGGACTGGGCATCAGTCAGTGGGTGGCAAGCAATTATATAGTACATTACTTGTCTTTTTTGGGTTTCATTTCTGTCTCTTTTTTTGTTATTTCTTATTTCATTACAATTAATTTTATACTATTTATTTCACTTTATTTCTACCATAAAACTGTTTTTACCTCAACCCATAGGTTTTATCTTTTTTTCCAATTCTCTTTCCCACCCAGGGGGTGGTGGTGTGTGAGGGTGTCCAAGTGAGTGTGTGCACACTACTTAGTTGGTATCTGAGATTAAACCCCAGCAGGCAAGGATCTGGAAAAATGCAATCCCACATGCAGRATCAATACCTGCAGTACACCCTCCAGCTGTGTGATTGTGTACACAAGACACACATCTTACATCCTACCTTCCACAGGTACACTTAACAAGGTGTGCAYGTATGTGCCAATTTTATTTATAGAAATGTAAATACGCACACATCTGGTATAACACAAATATGCACAATTTACACATATACAAATGTGTGTACGGAAAAATCCGCGCATGTATTGCTGCACAAGACAAGGCAACGAGATGAAAATGTGCCTGTGCCTTCTCCAAAAGGCTCGCATTCCACAGTCCAGAGGATGCACAGAGGGGAAGTGCAGCCCGCATGCCTGACAGCCTCTTAGGGGTAAGAAACGTCGGGAAAGGACGAGAACGGGTGCGGAATAGAACAGGAACCGCCTGTGTCGGCACACGTCCGCCGAGGTGCGATGGCAGGSGAGAGGGGAGCGCCGCTCTCCAGGTTACGGCGATGCTCTCCCGGGTGCGGAGCCGCAGCCCCTTCCCGCCGAGGGGAACSTGCCCGACCCCCGTCCGCCTCCTCCCGCCACATCCCCTGTCCCTGTCACCTACCAGCCGCCGATGTCCGCGCAGGCCGGGGCCGCCTCGCCCGCCGCCGCCTCCCYGTCCCGCGGCGGGTCGAAATAGGCGTTCAGCGCCCTCTGAAACACAGGGGCGGCTGGCAGGGAGGGGCCGCCGCCGGGCAGCCCCGCGGCCCCGCCGGCCCCGGCCGTACCTCCATGTGCCAGTCGCTGCCGGCCAAGAAGCGGCGCGCCGCGGCCTCGTCGCTGCTGGTGATGGCGGCGAACTCGGAGCACAGCGCCTTCCTCCGCTTGGCGACGCGCAGCGCCTCCTCATCCTCACCCTCATCCTGGTGCTCCCGCTTCTGCTCGGCGGGCGGCGGGCTCGGCGCTGCCCCGGCCCCCTCCTCCATGGCTGCGGCGGAAGGCGGCGGCAGGCACCGCCCGCCGGGGTTGCGGTTCCGGGGCGCGGACGGGCGGCTGTCGGCGGGGCGGCAGCATGGGCTTCACGGTGGAGACCCTGAGGGAGGCTATGAAGTACATGGTGGAGTCGCAGGGCTTCGACCGGGTGCTCCGCAAGGTACGGGCACTTGCAGGGCAGGGCTCCGGGAGCGTGGCTCCGCCCGAGCTGCTCGTTTGTACGAGTTTCTGTCCCTGGCCGGGGTAACAGGCTGGGCCGGGCTCGGGGGGTCAGTCCGCCGGGGCTGGACAGGGCTGAGCACGGCAGGAGCCCGGTGCTGCAGGCCCGCCGGTGTTTCCCCGCATTCGGGACACGGAACGGGGCCGTGTGGCCCTGGTGCTAACACGAGCTACAAAACACAGTCTTTATAGTAAGAATGACTCCGTTGTTATTCAGTAAATCTGTTAAGTACTCCAGCTGCCTTCCAGCAGCTCTCTGAAGGTGACTGTACCGAATAACCTTCAGGAGTCATTAAGTGTCATTCTTCCCTTCGCAGTACGTGCAAAGCAGCTGACTTGCAGGTCCGTGAAATTGTGAAATAAACTCTTCCTTGTTTAAAATTAAAAGGTAGCTTATTACGACATTTCACACCTCAGCCTGAAGTTAGACTGAAAGTACAGTGCACACTCCAGTGCTCTCTGAATTTCTTCACAAGGCCCTACGCTACACCTTCTGGTATAAAGAAATGTAATTGACTGGTACTGCTGTGGTGTCATGCTACATTATGCTCAAATAAAGTTGAACTTACTGTATTGCCTTGAATTGTGTAGGGTGTGGAAGTATAGCTGCTGTGTAGGGCGCTCCTGTGAAGCAGTTTTAGTGTTCTCATTGAATTTTGCAATGCTAGAGTTATCCCTTTAATTTATATTTGTTTGTGTGACTGTGACATGGAGTCATGGCATAAATACCTGTAAGAAAACCAACCATGTAAAAATTTATATGCTTTGCTTTGTAGWGAAGCAAATGTAATAATGGAAGCTTTTGTTGACAGCTCCATGATCTAATACATTTAATAGAAAACACCTATTTGCAAAGCAATTCTTACTGTNNNGGTCCCTTTAAAAAACACATCTTGATAAGGGTTGCATATGGTAAGCTTCTGAGAGTATTGCGTAAGGGAGAAAGGGGGGGCTCAGTAAGAGGCCTTAAAGAAAAAAGGCAGGGACTCCTGCGTGCCTGTTTGTTAAGATTAGCTTAGGTGTGGTTAAGGAGCCCCAGAGTTATCAGCTACATGCTGGCCACACCCACTGCAAAATTCATGCATCTCTAATACATGGACTCATGGCGTAAATATCTCTAAGAAAACCAACCATGTAAAAATTTATATGCTTTGCTTTGTAGTGAAGCAAATGTAATAATGGAAGCTTTTGTTGACTGCTCTGTGATCTAATACATTTAATAGAAAACACCTATTTGCAAAGCAATTCTTACTGTCATGTTTTTCCAAGACATGTTGGTGAGTATAAAGTTTGTAAAAAATGTATAAAGCTTGAGGAGCTAATTTATTTATACAGTCCATTTAGTTCTTAGTMAYCACTTCASTGTGATAACTTTGYRCTCCTTTTACATCCTGATAAGTGGTGAGCAAATATTAGCATTTCAGGTCRTAAAGGTACTGGCTGGAAGTGTTCCTATCTTGCTCTGGAATACTTTTAGATTTTTTCTGCAACCTTCTAGAATTAGGATGCTATGAGCCTGACGATAATAACAATAAAACTACAGTTGTGTTTGAATTAAAAGTAACTGCTGCTTTTCTGGAAGATCCCTGAAATCTCTCTTACCATAACTAAATGACTTGAGGTTTTTCCTATTCTGGAGAAGACACATTTTAGTCTGAAACCCTTCACCTCCAGTTTCAGACTTAGTTTCTGGTTTAACTCCAGTGTGGTATCTACACAGAGTTTAATGACTGTGTGTTTTAAGGGTGGAAGCTGACACAGTGTGCTGTTCCCCGAGGCAGACGCGGGGGAGGACAAGCACAGCAGGGCTGGGAGAAGCACAGACCAGCAGCTCTAGCTGAGTAGGTCCTGGAAGCGTCCAAGTACAGAACTATTTTTGTCAAGGAGAGCAGGCATGTAGTGCCTGACAGAACAATGACAAATGGAACCAGATGCTTTCCTCGCCTCGCTGGTGGATTGGAGCACCAGTCCCTGACAGGAGTGGAAGCCATCTGCTCCCAGTGTTGAGCATCAGTAAAGTACTCCTTAAAAATTCTGTCAGAAGCTTAGGCCTCCAGTGCAGTGCAGCATGCCTGATTTAGAACCTGGGGAATTCATTGACATAGGTGCTGTTTCTGCATTAGGACATTGCCTCAGTAATTTTCTCCCTGTKTAATCMCGTTTTTTTTCCATTAGAAGACTCTCTACAATATCATCATTGATCTTAGTACCATTTGTCTGCAAAATTTGAATAAACTTCGGCTTATCAAAAAGAGTGAAACTGAGCTCTTACACTGCATTATAAATAAGGAACAATGAAACTGGGAACATTTTACTCTTAATACCTTTTAAGATCCAAAAAAAAATTAATCAAGCTGGTAACAGTAAAGGCAACAGGCAAGTTAAAAAAAGCCATTGCAAAAAGTTTGAAAATAAATAGGAATTACAATATATCCACATTTCACTTGTCTAAAGGCACTTCAGAGTTTTAGTTATACATGTTAATATATATGTGGAACTTGCCCCAGTTGTGCATCTGCTTTCAGWTTTTGAATATAGTGCTACTAACTGAAGAAACTTAAATAGAGATTTTAAAATACTGAATTGCGGTAACTTCTTGGTCTGAAAATTCCAGCTTCTTGTGTTGGCTATAGTGGGAAKTATGGTACCATAGGTGAACTGTATGTATTTACCACCTATGGGCTAGAATACAACTGGATATGGAAATAAYGATGCTGTAACACTGTGATACAGCCATGGATACTTCTACTCAAGAATATGAATTTCCCATCAGGGAGGCCAATTTGATTTGTATTTCCAATGTTCATTTCAAAATACTGATTTTTACTGAGGTTACCCTAATATAATGATAAATTAATTACTGATGATCTCATTTCCATTTTGTGAGGTAACAAATGTTTCTTCACAACTGTGGTACACACAGCAGTTTTTTGTGTTCCCTCTAATCTCGCCTTTCACTCACAGATTAAAGCAAAAGGAAAGCTGAAGACAGTTTCCTCCTAAGGAATTCCTGACAGCTTAGCAARTACTGAAGTTTTATTAAGCTGTCAGTTTAAATATTTATCTGCATTAGAAGTTCAGATTTTTCTAAGGCAACAGTCTCCTGCTCAAAATTTATGGAAATATCTAATGGGAGTGTTGAATTGCTATATTTTCCATTTTTAATTTTTCACCTGGGTCCAGAGTTAGACAAGATTTACTTTCAATTTCATTGAGGGCAATATTGGATGTTGGTACTACTGTCACTAAGCTTTTTATTCCTGTTTTGGTTATACAGATGAAACTTCAATCTGCAACTCCTGGAAGAGTAGTCTGTGAAATGAAAGTAGAGGAGGAGCATACAAACAGAGGTGGCACATTACATGGAGGTTTGACTGCCACACTTGTGGATGTGGTGTCAACAACAGCTTTGCTGTACACAGAAAGAGCAATACCTGGGGTCAGTGTGGACATGAACATCACGTAGGTATCATTCACTATGTTTACTAAAATATACTAACTTTTGTTCCCCTATTGACTCCATTGTACATCATTTCTGTGCTGTGACACTCACTAAAATGGGTGTTTTCTTTGGTTTCAGAAGTCCTGTTTTGATTYAAGAAAGTTGCTTGTATGTATTTGGAGACATTGCCATTTGGTTTCAAATTTTGAATTGGAGCTTCTTAAGCTTTTATTTGTTACATGTGTTTCAGAGACAGTGCCCATTCCTTCATAGAATGTAAGGGATGTTGATATGTRATCAATTTTAGTCTTAAGAAATTGTTTTGATTTCAGTTTTCACTTGTGCAGATATGTTAACATCTCCTCAAAACCCAAGGTCTAGGGTAAGCAGCTTTCTAGAAGCCTTTTTTTAGTATTGGTCCATAAACCAGAGAAAAATATTAAAGCAGGAAAGAATTTACCTCTGTTGTGTGCCCATATAGAGGATGAATAACAGAGAGACATTCTGATTCATGGTGGAAAAAGATTCCTTTGCTCTAGGGTATTTTAAGGTGGTTTTATGCTGAGAATAGTTCCTCCTGTGATGCAAATTCAAAGCACAATGCCTTTAAAAAAATCAGTTGTTCTGACACTTTCTTTGATCATGCTGTAGCTTGTCAGCTTTGCTTCATTACTTCTAATGAAGATATTATGACCAATTGGAACTAAAATAATGCTATTTAGAATAATTAACACAGTATATAAAAAATCTTAGAAAAGTAACCCCTCATCAAAACTATCTTTAAGGAAAAAAAAAAGCTTTAGAAGTGCGTAGGAAGTGATCTGTATCTTTACCAGGTTCCCTCCTTTCTCTGCTAGCACCTTCTGATTCCTCCACTGGGTAGATGGTATTAAGCATCTATTTGGGCTTCCCACTACCCCTGTGATGACCAGGATCTTACTGGAAACTGATACCTGAAATTCCCCTATGATTGTGGGCTTTTCCCTGCAGTAGTATAGCAAGAAGCCATATGATTTGTTGACACTGAGTTATGTCCACCCARTTACATAAGGGCTGAAATCTGAAGAAAGTGCTGTCTCTGGAGGTGATCCAAAATTATCTTTAGGCAATGTTACATGAAGTAATATTAATAGTTTGTTTTTTTTTTTTTAAGTTGAACTACTGTGTTCAATGAACAAGTGAGATTGGATATCAAATATTGTTATAAGAACTTTTTTCCCTTTTTGGGAAGGAGCTTTTTAAAAAGTTGTCATGAGGAAGCTATTTCAGTAATGGAAAGAACAGAGAGAAACAGAGAAATTTTTTTTGGTAACCACAAGAGGATCAGCAGTAGCTTCTGGAAATGAGACAAGGCTGAAACCCTGCCCTTGTCAACCAATGGAGCTGGTGCTACATCATTAGGTGTGACTGACATTCTTGTGACATGGTGTCATGTGTATAARTGGACTGGTTGATGAAATTAATCTCAACAAGATTAACATCCAGCAATTCTACAATCTCCTCTGCAGTTCTGACATTTGCATATTGTGCCCTTATTTCAGATCATGGTTGCATCATGTTCCTCCTAATTCTTTCCAGGGGAATTGTTTGTGGGGAAATTTCTTCCTATTCCCTGAAGAGTGTGTTTTGAAAGCACACCCTCCTGCTCATGTAAATAAAAACAAAGAGTTATCTAATGAATGAAAACAGCATTTGAGGGCTGCCCAGATTTCAAGGACTWTCCTCTAACCAGGGTATGGGAAACAGTTAACCTATGCTTACAGTGCCATGCAAGAATGACCTTCTGGAGCCTTTGTAACAATGACATTTTGCAGCTGAAGCAGCCAGAGTAGTTTAGAAAGGCTGTAGGGAGCCAGCAGTGGTTGGAATAGGACTTGGAGCTGAACTTTTAACTGAAGTCTTGGATACCTCATTGTTTCAGTTCCAAAACAGACTTTTCGTCAGAACCAAGCCAATGGGTTTCTTTYTAGCCTCCAATTTCTCAGAGAACTCTTATACTTACTTACCACTGCCAGTAGATAGAGGAGTACATTAMGAAGTGGGGGTTTGCAAGTAGGTAGGCAGACAGAGATATGTCTTATTACCCACTTCTGCTAATCTKTATGATTATATAAAATGCAGGAATGTTCTTGGATTTGTCCTCTGTACAGTCKCTTACCTCTTCCTTTCTTTCTTCCTTGAAGATACACTTCTGCTGCTAAGATTGGAGAAGACATACTGATTACAGCTCAGATTCTGAAGCAAGGAAAAACCCTTGCGTTTGCCACCGTGGAYTTAACAAATAAGGCGACAGGAAAGTTAATTGCACAAGGTAGACATACAAAGTTCATAGGAAATTAATATGAAAAATTATTTTAAATAATAATGTTGGACTTCAGAATCCCATATGGAATTATTTACTCACACCAAATCATCTGCACAAAGTTGTGATAGTCTCTATCAAGTCAATTTGTCTCACTCCTATAATAAACGAACAAATTTCTTAATTACCACCAGAATTTCTACAAGCCTGGGTTTGGGATGAACAACAGAGTATGACAGCACAGGGATGCACCTGGCTTATTTTGGTTAGATAGCAGAAGGGAAGAGCCTTTGGACATGCCATATGGTTTACCAGCATGACAGTGTTTTAAGAGATCTGCTTTCTTTACCTGTGGTGTCATGTGACAAAGCAACCCGGTCTTCAGGCCTGTCACAGTCACACTCAAACACCACTAAATGTGCTTCCAAACTCTACTTGTTCCCTAAGATGGTAGTATAGAGTTCCTGTAACATCGTGCAGAACTGGTTTGAAAGTGTACAGCAGAGTAATACAAAATGGAATTTACTGATGCTGTAATAAATCAAGAAGTATTCAATAAAGCTTTCTGAAACTACCTTTTTTAAAGATTGTTCCATAGTTTTGTAGCCTCTTCGCACTAAATAAAACCTTACCAGAATGGAGGTGAGAGAATGGAGGGAGATGGAATTTGTATGCAAATTCACCTGAGATGTCGTCATCTCCCTCTGATCTTTGAATATGAAAATGCAGTTATATCATGTGGGCTTTTCACCTATACCTATCTAGTTGTAGAGGTGTAAAAATCATCACCTACATGTTACAGATGTATCAAAATAATTTGGGTGAGCTTTCATTCAGGCTAAGGCTATAGATTATCCGACCTGGGTTGAATGTGGTAGAGCTGCTGTTCATCGGCTGATAACTGGTCTCTTGCACTATTGTGGACAGGCTTAACTGCTTTCTTCAGACTGTTGACAAATGATCCAAGGCTATCATGCTGTAATAAAAACAGCAGTGCTACATATGCACTGAACAATTGTCTCCCCTAGCAAAAAGCTAATCTACACTAGCATATATAACAAAAAGTCCTTTTTGTTGTGTAAGTTAACTCATTGTCTTCAGTCACTTGACTTTTGTGATGAAATGTGCAGTTAGGGTTTTTTCTGTGCATTCCTAAACCTAAAGGAATAATTTTCAATKAGTTAGGTGACTGACCTGTTCATGCAGTCTGATTTTCAATACAAAGTTGTACAAGTTTACTAATGTGTCATCATTTTGAACAAGTAATATGAGCAGATTGCCAGTGGAAGTCTCTAAAAAATACCTACAGTGGGCTCAGGCTACCAGCATGTATTTTTGCTGCAAATTAATTATTGTTCATGGTATATACATTCTCAATAAAAGCTTCTTCTATGTGGCTGTCTCAGAAGCCTACATGGCTGACATKCCTGTGGCTAGTTGAACTTTTAATAGTAGCATCTCCTCTTTAGCAATACATTCAAAATTTGTTTTCCCCCAGTACTTGCACTCACTTGTGCTCAGAAATCATCCCTGAATCCCATTTAAAGAAACACAGGGTTTTGCTGAAACAGTTCTGCAAAGGTGCTTACTACAGGGGCAACCTTTTTTTTAAAGAATCTTTGCTCCTGAGAACTAGATGYCTCATTGTATTAAATTCTCACTTTACAGCTCCCTCAGCCTGGAGTGCTGTTATGAGTCTTAAGCATCTCCAGTTCCTCTACATTTACTTGGATGAGCGGAGAGGATCAGTCAAAGCAACACTTACTCACTTTGGCAACTGCTTCTCTGGWTATCTTCCAATTAACATGTTCTGGCATCTCCAGCCATCTTTTTTCTCATTCTTAAATTTACCAGTTTTCTTCGATGGGTTATTCATGTAGTAGAGTGCAAGAAAATAGAAGTAAGCATTAAAACTGCTCCCCTCCAACTGCTATAAAGCCACACACCTCACTGGAACATGAGAGTGATTTTTACCTGCAATAAAAGGCACAGGGTGAGAATGAAGGAGGTGCCAAATTCAATATGTGATAAAATATTGAGAACACTCAGCTCTACGTGCTGGGGCCACTCTGTCCTTGTGTAACTGTCCCAGTGCAACTTAACACGGCTTCCCTCAATCAGCACTGGCTGCCTCAGGAACCTRTCAGAGTTAAGTGGTCCCATTCTATCACTTAGCATTCATCATATCTACATAATTGCTACTGAAAAGCGTCCAGGCCAATTGAGAGTGGCAAACTTCAACACAGAAGCAACAACATCCTCCTGTTCCCGTTCAAGCCTGGCAAGGACTGTTTCAGGCTGAGAGGGAAACGGAAATAAACCTTCCTGAAATGACAAGTGAATTCTCCCTTACAACAGACTATTCAACGCAGTGTTTTAGTACTGCCTAATTAATAAGAGGGACACCATTAATATGCAGGCCAGTTATTTCAGAAGCATTAATTAAACAGTATTTTAAGACATCCTTCCACCAGAAACAGTATGTTGACCTCATAATTTATTTCACAAGTTCTCTTAGGTGCAGAGATGATCTTAGAAAGAATTGTCACCAGTGAGCTTGCCTAGCTTTGGGAGTAAACTGTCAAGCATCAGACTTAATACTTGGAAGTGTTCTTACTGATTTCACTCTAAGCTGCATGTTGAAAAATCTTATCTTAGCTGAATCTCAAAGAAAGTAATGGAAACAAATTACTGTAAGAAGGACAAATGGCTCCACCTGGCATCAAACAGACCTCCTGTGGGGTTGACCTGGTTCTATCACAGCAGATTTAGGCATGATTCCCTTACAAGCAAGGAAATAAAAGTGATTTCATGAGCTCATCTTGTGAATCTTTATAGTATACCAGCATTACATATCYAGTAACTGACAGACAACTGCAAGTTCCCTATCTCACAGCTGAAAATGAGACCAGCCCTCCCATATTGCAGTTTGTTGTGGTTTTTTTTAAACATACCAAACACGCAGGTCATACTTRTGTGTAGATGTCTGTTCTTAAGGAGGCTGCATAATGGTATGAAATATGTTGAGGAACAGTTTCTCTTTTCTCAGTGGAAGTAACTTCAGCTTCCCACTTCATGCAGTACCCTGGCCAGCCAAGTGTTCCATGCTGGWTTCACATCACTATTGCACAAATACATTCAGACTGACACCCATGAGCTTGCACCATGTACAGCAGTGCTTCACAGATGCCTTGAGAAAATAAGGAATCAGAACAGACTTGTTCCCACTGGCATTTGAAGCCAGGGGTTCAGATGCTAATCAGGGCAAATACAGATCACAGATTAAGATGCAGTGAGAAGGTTTGCTTATTAAGGATTCCAGCTCTTGGGAAGACTCATCTTGTCAGTGATAAACTAGGGCAAAGGTAAGGAAGGGTGTCACTGCTGAAACAAGTGTTGGAACTATCAGAACTCCTTCTCAGTCTCTTTGGTTGAGCCACCTTGTCACAGGGGTCTCATGGCTGAGCTGCTGGTTTACAGTTCTCAAATTCACAAACATCACCACCTAAAGGGGATGGAGCAGGGGGGCAGGGATGTGAGGTGAATTAGGCTGTTAAGTAACTGTTTTGAACAGCAGTTCAAATCTCTTCAGCTTCATTGACTGGCTCTGACACTCTGCCAGGACATACGGAAGAATTTCCAACTGTATTATATCATTCCCAATTTTAGAAATTTCCATCTGCAGAAACCATTTAGCCAGAACCTCCCAAACCTCTCTCTTACCTCAATGTCCATGGGAATAAAAAAAGCACTTAGATGCCTATTTTGCTACTTCAGTTCAGAGACAACATGATGACAGTGATTTCATAATACATTCACTGAACAACTGCTACCACCAGACCCTGATCCCAAGCTGCCATGGCTGTGGTACACAGCACCATAGACAATTATTGCTTAAAAGAGAATAAATTACCTGCTAGCTATTATCAAACAAGACATCTTCTTCAGGGAAAAAAAACAAAACCRAATTAACTCCACCAAACAAAGACTCCTATTTTTGTTTACTAAGACAGYACCTGGGGTTTGTATCACTGTAGTAAAATTTTGGATCTTTGGATTTCTTTTGCTTAAAAGCAGTAGCTGCTTGAATATATTTCAGGAGTCCAGAAGCGCAATTTGTTTAGTGGGTGCTCTAGCATACAGTAATTGTGCTTAAATTAAGGGACCTTTCCATATGTAAATCCTTTTCAAGCAGAAGTAGGCCACGGATATCTTCAGCCCTAAAAAGCATTTCAGTCACCCATGCAGAAGAGAAATTACTTAGCTTTAGTTAACCTGTAGAGCTGATGCACAGCACTACCCGGTGAGCCCCATGAGCTCCCTCCCAGCTGCAGTGCACAAAGCAGAAAGCAGCACTGCTGGAGACACAATTGCAGCCTCCTCCAGAGGCTCGAGTTCAACTCTGCTCCAAGAACACYGCCACAAGGAAGATTTGAACACCAAACTAATACAAAGCATGCAGCCCAGGTGCATGACAGCAGGAAAAGCTAAGGGAACTTCCAGTCCCAGTGCAGGGGCTGCTGTCTCAGCCTGCCAGGCTGACAGGTGCAGACGGCACCTACATGCTGAGGCCTTGCTCTCACACCACAAAGCATGGCATCAAGTAGCACAGGTCCAAATGAAGGCAACACCTGCACAGAGAAATGTCCTYTCTGGGTGCTAATGAGACTAAGGGACAAACACTAATATGGGCCTTATAACTCACACTCTCCAAACCATGAGTAAAGATCACTGAAATGAAAATTTCCACAAAATAATTCCAGAATAACCATTCAGGCTAGTACCATTCCTCAAACATCAATCCTAGTCTTTTTTTTCCCTTATATAAAGGATTTCGATAGTGTTTTGTCTTACTATTTCACTCCAGAAAGCTGTTCCAAAATCTGTAGGCTTAGGCAGCTTGTGAATTTGCTGCTGCAATAAATGCAAAATGAAAAATCTGAGATGATTTTTTAGGCTAATAAACTCACACGGCATGTCTATCTGYTTAGGGAATGTAAATGTACTCACTCTTGACTTCAACTATCATGCTCAATGGCAGAAACCTTAATGCAATCTTAAATGAAGCCTCCAACAGTCCATTAGACTGTTAAAAGGAAGGAAACCCTTCTGTGACTCTTCTCACTGTTCAACCCCCCAGATCCTGATTCAAAGTAAGCTGGTGTTCAGTAACTGCAAGTAACTTAAGACTCAGCACAAGTGCAAGAAAAAGCAGTGTTCTGGCAGCAGAATAGGGGAAGGGAAGGGAAGGGAAGGGAAGGGAAGGGAAGGGAAGGGAAGGGAAGGGAAGGGAAGGGAAGGGAAGGGAAGGATGCCTGCAGAGCTCACAAGCTGCAAGTATGACCAAGGAGCAAGCATTTATGGCACTTGTAGCACATTTTAAAGTAATTTCAAAACTAATACTTTGCCCTTCGTGTCAAGAAAAAGACGTTGTTATGCCCAAGGACCATGGCCACTTACCATAGTGAAGGCTGATCCTCAGTATTTTCGAAGTACAATCCAGTAGGTCTTTCAGAAATGTCCGTTTTTCAGAAGTCTAAGTAATTTTACAAGTCCGAATTTTCATCTTTCCACCTGCTGTTTTTCTAACAGACTTTAACGTTTTGTGATTAAAAAAAGGACTTGCAATCAGTACCTTTGATATAAAACTTTCAATGCTCAGAGATTAGTAACCGATTGCTTAACCATTTTTTTCCTTGTTTAAGAGAAGCACTGACTAATCCAAATGTTTTTCTACTACCTGGTATATCACTTAACAGATACATTTTCATATTTATAACATAAACACTAAAGCTATTTTATAGCTTTTCAGAGGGAACTTATACTTTTGAGACAAACATCACAAAGAACATAAACTGCAAACTAACTACAGTCCTTTTACATTTTGGCAGTACTTGTACAGCAGTTCTATCTATCTTACCATATTTTGGTAACTCTTGCATAGCTGAAGAAGCTTAAGAAGTGAAGAGAAACTTCATAGTCATGTAAAGACCATGACATTTAAGAAGCTTCTCATCATTCAAGAAGCACCTGACACAARCTTCGTTCACCAGACAATTCAGAGATGTAAAAGATTTGCCTTCTGTCTACTTAATTTATGCCTGTCCCCTTGGCACTTACCAAGTTCTCCTAACAAATCCTTAAGCAGCAGCCTGATTAAACTCCCATATTCAGGTGCAATATKGAGTGTATTTCAGTTCTTGGTTTTAGTATGTCCAAAGGAGACACACAAGCAGTTGACAGTAGGTAGTAACTAAAATTCTTTCTTGTATGACAGCCTTTTTGTATTTACAAATATTCATTAACCTGATACAGAAAAGGGCCTAAAACCAAAAGCTAGATTTACAAACTACTTCCATTCACTTCTGAAGGGCATTTTGCTGAAGTAACTTAACCAAAGAACATTCTGAGATTGAACTGGAAGTTCCATTGAAAAACATTAGAACAAGATTTTAATCTCTTCCCTCAAAAGCCATCCCTTTTGAGATAGCTCAAAAGGGGAGAGGAACTCTTCTGAGATGCCAAATGATACAAAAAAAAATCTCACATATTCCTCAAGGTTCTTATGCTCTAAAGCCTTTATCTTTCCCCCCCAACACTACTTAGGCAATGCAGATGGCTCTCAACTCACTCTGATAACACAGCAAAAGCATAGTGTTTGCTAGCTGGGTAGTATAGGCCACATTTAACAAAATTAGTATTCCAGTTTTTTATTTCTTCTAATCCTAACTGTGTTCTCCTAAAAAACACGGTATTATTTATTATGAGGAACRAATGAGCAGCCTGTCTTATGGACCTTATAGAAAACTAAAAATGCAATTAAACTGAATGCGTTGTTTCCTGTAATACAGAGAATAAAAATCCATACAATTACTGACACTTGAATAGCATTGTACACAGCCACTCAGGCCAACATCTTGAGGCTTCTTCTAAGAGAAACTGGATTGAAGAAAACCAAAATTCCTAATGCAAGAGCTGTCAGTAGCTTTGCTAATCAAGGTAACTACAGCCCTATTCTCAYGGCAGTGAGGATGTCTAAAATGACAAATTAAGAACAAAGGATGGCACTTAGGAAGCAAATTCCAAACTCCTGAAACCTTAATGTTTAAGATCCTACAAAACATCTCTCAAGCTTTATGTAGATGCATTGTATTATACCTTGCAGATCACTCAAAGAAGAGGCACTTAAAGTTGAGAAATTTTCGGTACTGTTAGCAGGTATGGTTGTTATTAAATATTTTAGAAAGTCTTAGCGCTTTTCAAGGTATTTCTTTGTAACTTAAGGTAACTATGAAAGTTAAGTTGAAGCTTTCAGGTGGTGTTTTTCTAGGATGTTTCAGATTAACCTGTAGGAACTCATAACCAAGGAAGTAAAAATACTTATGTATCAATACAATAACATACTAGTAATGCTAATATTTCTGACAAGTGCTTTTCAAAACATATGGCCCCCATCTGCAAGAACACCTGTGCCACAGATCTTTGCTGATCCTAATATTTTACAGTCTGTACAATTTTCAGTGTTGGTAGTAGGTGACACTGTTAAGATGCAAGATGCTACTAAAATTCAATTAATAGATTTCCATAAATAAAACCAGCCATCTTTCACCTAATTTATTTAATTTCCAATTTTTTTCCAATTCCAAACAAAAGCTAAATACAAGTTTTAAACAGGTAAGCACTAGTTTTATCCAAAGGGAGTAGGCTTATGCAGTTTTACTCCAGTAAAGTACTCAACCCTTAAGCAGAGCCTTCTTTGTCATCAAAACTATACAGTAGTCTTCCTTTTATCATTGCACAATCTTAAAATGTTCTGTCAGAACAAACTTTTCACACTCCAAACACTATTTTACATTGGTTTATAATGTCTATTCCAAAAGAAAAAAAAAAACCAAACCCTCGATGGGTTTTCCATAAGAAATGTTTTAGAAACCAGTATTTCCTGCACAGTTCACCTGCAAGTTTACAAGTCTCAACTCTCAAGAAAAAATAATCCTCTACCAACATTGTTTCTGCAGCTATTATTTTACCTTTTTTTGAGCTGCTTTAGCAACTTCAGACTCCAGGTCTGCCTCATCTGTATAAAAGCATCCAACTTAAAAGAATACCTTCATACAGTTATACAGCAACTTGGGGAAAGAGATCCAAAACAAAAGTGCCAGTAAACTTAGACATGGCCCAGCAAAATAAAAGAGGCAAAAAATGCCTAAACATTAAATGAGATGCTTTTTTTAAAGAAAGAAAGGATTTCTTTCCCACATTTACTTCCTATTGTAATAGCCACTTCTTCGTTCATTAGAATGAATGATAGTGCTCTTCAATACAATCATTAACAGCAAAGGTATAAGGCTTTTATACCCATTACATTCACTTCTCACCCTCAAAATACTGATGGTTAACATTAGAGATGTTAGGGGGCATGACCAGCACAAATGGGARTACCACCACAAATGATCACCTTGTGCTTTCAGATACATTTGTTTCATTGTACAGTCCCTTCATTTCACATTTTAGTAAGATGCTGATGCTGTGCAGAAGTGTGCAGAGCATCCTCTCTTTCACAAGGTCCATGCAGAAAACATCTAAAAAAAAAAATTGCAAAGTTCTGAGATACAAATGATTAAAAAAATCCAGGATGATCAAGTTTCACAATGTATAGTGTTCTGAACATGAGTCCATTTTCTTCTAAATTCGGAAAGAATAAAGTGGTGAGGGAAAGTGAAAATCCACTGCTGCATTCTGTGATCTTCCCCATTTTGCTGGCCAGTACCTTACTCTGGCATGTAGGGACGGAGGTGATCCTCTATGGTACCAACCGTCCAGTGAGTGAGCTGCTCCTGTGGCAGGTACAGGCAGATGCTGCATAACTTGAAGATTGTAGCTTTGTTTTTTGGAGTCTAAAGGTGAAGAAACCCAAAGAAAACGTATTAAGCCTAGAAGTTAACTCAGGACTAAGAGGCAGGCCCCCACAAACATTTTAAATTCACTGTTTCACACATATAAACAGCCTGAACTTAGTCTGCAAACTCTAATGCATAAAATGTTTTCACTGTTTTGTTCATTCTTCACTTGAATTATTTCTGGATTGTCACCCAAACCAACCCAATGTTTTCATTTTTCCTAAACACTGTTAGGCCTATTTTAGAAAACTTACATAATTTTTAATGTAAGAACATTAATTCTATGTGAACACATGTGTGGCTCATAGTTTTYGCATGCATGAATCCTATTTATAGCATGTTTCCTCAGAAACTGCCAAAATGCAATCACAAATGCATGATCATTTTTTTACTTGAGTAGCTTGCAGCAAAATCACTGATGTTCCTCAGAAGAAAAAGCTTTTTATGATTAACACTTGTTAAGATGAGGACAAAAGACGCTTACCTGCAAGTGCTGTCTGTCAATGAAGAGAAACACTGACTGGTTAGGGTTGTTGATAACAATTCCAGTCTTGTCCTTTCGGCTCAGAACATGCAGAAACTGTTTTTCATAGTCACCATGATGAAATTCAAACTTGGCCTACATGGTGTGAGGGAGTGGAATAAAATATTTACTAAGATAAAGCTTACATGTAACCCATTAATTTCCTTTCATCTAGGGCTTTACAACAACTTTTGTTCTTTCCTTCAATCTATTCTGAAAAGCAGAAACTGGGGACCATGGCAGTGACGCACAAGAGTCTTGACATAATTTAAAGAATCCCTTAATTTCATTCTGCCAACGCTTTTCACTGCCTATTGCAATGACATATTCACAACTCAAAGGTCCAACTTTACCTGCAGTATATGTAAAAACCAATTTACCTTCCTGTGGCAGAAGATCCCTGTGCAACAATTTCTAGACAAAATTATAATGCAAAGGTTCCATCCATCTCACTCTTCCATCTAATCAAATATAGTAACTTGGAATACTGACAGAACCTTAACAACACCATCACATATAGACAAAGATTTGGTTGTATTAAGAGGCAAATCTAATCCACTTCTCCAAATACAAACACACTGTATGCATTCATACATACATGTCATTTGCAAAGGCCTTTTGGAAACTTACACTGTGGAAGGGCTAATGCAACAGTGCTTGAAGATAGGAGGCAGAATTTGGCATTCAAAACACTGACTGCATTCTAAATAAAGCCAGACAGCGTATTTTTCTAATAACCATACAACTCACATACCTTATCAACTTATTGGTTAAGCAGAACACTCCCTCCAGGAGTAAATTACATACTGAAGTGAAAACCCAAAATCAAATACCTGAACAGGCCTAAAGGGTTCATCAGATCCCTTCCACCGAGAAAACAGGAGACAGACTATCTTCTCAATATCATTACGAGGCCATAGAATGAAGTCCATCTCCTGGGTACAGCCGATCACATCCTGTGAGCAGTAAAGTTGTGTACTTACATTCCTTCCAGTGGTCAAAAACAGAGATAAGCAACTTATCTTTACAGGCACATACTATAAAAATGACACTTACACAGCATTTGTTTGATTTTCCATTTTTATTACTAATAACACAACTGAAGTCTTCCTTGCTTCCCACTGAATTTTAATATCAGTACCTACTTAATATAAACTACAACTTTAAGAAAACACTAGCAAAGTCTGTCTTCCAATATTCATAAAGCAAAATCACTTAGTTGTACAGTGGGAGTTGTTGCAAGAATTATTAACACATGCCTYCTGAAGGACAAAGATGGCAAGAAGACACAATTCCCAAGGCACATCTCTGAATGAGACAAATGAAAGGTAAAGCTTAAGAACTACATATTTAAACAGTTTCAAAACTGTTATTACCCCACCGCTACCCTTCAAACTACACCCCATAAACACAGCTCCACAGAGCTGTCGTGCAGCAAATTAGTTGAGAAAATAAAAAAGGCAGGATTAGCCATAAGGTTCACAAGGAAAAGCACAARTGTTGAAAAAGTGTAATTCAGCAAGTGTGAAAAGGAGCCTTACCCTGCGCATAGACTGGTAGCGGGGTGCATGGAGCTGTACTACATCCTTCTGCAGAAGCTCTAAGGAACTTTCCAAAGAATAGCTGGAATCCCGCACACCTTTCAGGATATTTTCTTCATAGTTATTGGTCATGACTGGTATCACTTCAGACACTTCAAAAAGCGCTGACTTTTTCTTCTAAAAAAAAGCACAGATTACATTAAGATTACAGTCCTTTCAAGGAAATTATAGGTAACAGTTTAAACACTAAAATATCAATCTTGCAAACACTAAAATTCTATCTAAACATTAACAGAATTGCCCCTTCCTCAAGCAAAATACATGACTTTCRGATGACCAAGAGCCTCTGCAAGCTTCTCTCTGCCAACCAAGTAATACCTTTTTTCCCCTTTCAATTTTTTTTTCAGCTGGCCTTTTATGGAAAGTGAAATCTTTCAATGCCACATTTGTTAACAGCAGATGACTGAGATCCCATCTGAAGTTAGCTATAATCTTCTCAATGGAGGACTACTTTAATTTGCTAAGTAACTTATACTCACTATAAGTATTTCAGCATCTCTCAAGAGAGGCCGAAACATTATGAGAATGTAAAATCACTGAAGGTYTGTCTGTTTCTAACAGCTTTCTTACCGCTCATTAGAAGTCTTGACCTACTTAAAAAACAAAGTATATTTTTACCAAATAACGCTCCTTCTCCCCCTCCCATCAGAACACAGATAACAGGCAACTATTTGCTGACCAAGCTAACTTGAGCTAAACTTCTACTTTAAGCAAACTGGTATGGGATGGATTTCTTCAGTTCACCGTGRTAAAAGCAAATATAAGAGGATTTAAAACAGGCATTTACAAGGTATTTCTACAAAGCAATCAAGTAGTAGTATCAATGTCCAACCAAAAGACTTAAAGCTGTGTCATCTAAGAAAATGTAACTGTTGCCACTGCTTAAACATTCATATCTATGTTACTATGACACAGTACTCAAATTATATCCCAACATATCCATCTCTGCTTGCACTGGAACTGACAAACAAAAGCAAACTGAACTTAGAAATTTTAAAGCTTTTCAAGATACAGTCTTCATTAAAAACACCTAATTATTACACCTAAAACTATACATTTAAGGGAATTAAATMATTTCAGTGGTCCTATACATGCATTTTGTGCATTATGTTCTCTTGCCATTTGCTTCTATCTTCGCTTCCTCATCATTTGTTCAGCATATTCACTTCCTTTAAGTACCTACTTTTCTTAACGTTCTTTGGATAAAAACTCTCCCACAACTGCGGGTCTATAGTTGGCTTTAGAAAGACCCAGCTCCCCATCCAGATGTGCAGCATCCAGCAGCAAAGGAGGCAGCCAAGCAAATGAACATTTTCTCTTGGCCCTCCCCACTCCCTTTCAAAATGGTAGCAGCAGTTCCACATGTGCCTGYGCACTTGGGCCATTTCCACATCACATTTAAGGACTCCTCCCTTCAACTGCCAGGTCTTTCTGCTTTCACCAGATAAACACRCTCAGAAACCACCTCAGATTCCCTTCACAGCTCAACTGTTCGCAGCCAGGARGTCAGACTCCAATGGAGCCTAATGAGTTACGGTGTTAACTTTCAAAAATATCTACCCAATACAGCAGTTACCAAGTAACCATTTTAATGAAGAACTAGAACCCTCTGCCTTACCAAACTACAAGATGACAAACTAAACTAAGTTTAGGAACTAGCAATTTAAAAAATATAATAAATCAATGGATATTAAGTATAAAACATTTGATGCAACCAGGCAGCAAGACTTTGCAGACAACTTAACATGCAACAGACAACACAGAGAGACACTTTAAAACCAAGTTACCTTGTCTTTGAACACAAAGGCAATGTACATCTTGAAGTCAAACTGGTCAGCTAAAGATTCTTTTTTCTTTCTAAGCTGAGCACGAAGTCTGTTCAGAGCTTGTTTCTTCCGGGAGTTTGGGTCCCCCATTTTGTAATACAGGTGGTACTAAAGCCTTTGGAAACTGTAGCTAAACTATGGGCACCTTTTCGTAAGACTTAAGTACAACAGAAACAAGTCGTTTGATTCCTGCTAATACGACTGAATAGATCAAACGCTAATGTAACCCAAAACCGCACCTCAGGCAGTATTTTACGAGAATGTCGTATTGGAGGGGTCAAGAAAGAAAGAAAGTAGTTGTCCAGCCATAGCTGGACAAGAGGTTTTACAATAAATCAAGGAAAAAAACCCAAAGAATTTTGAAGAGAAAAATTTGAACAGTTTCGCTGCAGGAATAAGTGGGTAAGAATGAAGAAAAAGAAATCAAACCCCAAACAAATCTTATCACAATTTATGTGTACAATAAAAAGCAGCTGGCACAAGCCCAATCCATGGGGGGGTACTTTTGCTCTGCTTACAAAAAAAAAAAAAAACCGAAGCTGAAATTACAGATTGCTTTTTACCCCAGCCAGATTCATGACTCTACTGATTATTATTCTCAGCCTTCCTCTATTGCTATGTTGCCCGTCTTTTTCTTTAGAATTATTACACTTGGTGGAGAGCAGAGAAAAGGGTGCAAAGGAGGAGTGCACAACCCGGGAAGTATGACATTTCTCTGCCGCCAACAACAACAAAATCAACTACAGACAACACAGCGCTGGTTTGCAGGGGAGCAAAGAGAAAAGACAGCGGAGTCATTTCTAACTTCATCCTGCTCATCATTGCCCTGAGGCTACTGCTGCCAAARAGGAGAGGGATCATGATGGCCATTGACAAGGGGCGGACAGGGGTTCTAAAGACAGTATTATCTCACCGAGAGACTAAAACCTGAATCGGTGCCCCAAACCCGGGCTCCCTACCAGTGGGAGAGCCCTACATCCCCCGACACCTCATACACTCCCTGGGCTGCTGATCCCCCGGGGATCCTTCCCTCTCTCTCTGCAAGTGCTGCGAGCACAGTCAGCCGAGGCTGAGCATGGCCGGCGCTCTTGGCTTTCCCTTCAGCCTCTCTCTGCACGCAGGGCGGCCGCGCCCGGGGCAGCGGGACACCCACAGCAGCACCGCCTCTCTGCACTCTCACTTCATGGCCACGACTCCGAAAACATSGAGTGTGTTTTGCTCCTGCTTTTCGGTGACAAGAATTTTTTGCGAGGTTTTTTTTTTTTTTTAAATTGCAATCGGGGTTGCAATTTTAAACCTCTAAAACACCCTCCCCGAAAAAAACCAATTCCCCAATTATCAGGTTATTTTCCTCCACTCTCCAGACATTTTTTTCCCCTCTCCAGGTGTTTGATTAGTGGGGGTTAAAAAGTTTTTAGGTTAGCAAATTCACCGAACCAGGTTAAGAAGAGGAGGGGGAAGAAGTATTTCTCCCCCTTCTCTCTCTGGAGAGAACGGGAAAAAACAACGGAAAACAAAAACAAAAAAAAAAGGAACCCCTCCCAAAGCTTCCCCCCCAGTTAAGCAAGAGACTSAGAGGCTCCGACGAGAGCCCGGGACCGTGGCCCGCTCGCTACCCGCAGCCGGCGGGCGCAGGAGGAGCAGTGGAGGAGGAGGTGGCGGCGGTGCTGGCAGCACGAAGAGGAGCCATGTCAAGATAAAGCCACGAAGCCGCGGAGCCCCCCCATCCCTGCCGCAGGGGACACGGTGACCGGGCCGCCCGCTCTGCCGCTGCTCGGCCCCGACCTGGTCCCCATAGTCTAGCTCAGCGCCCCGAGGCCGGGGAGTAGGGAAATGGTGGCGGAGAGAGGAGGAAGAGGCGACGGCGGCGGCGGCGGAAGGAGGAGGACGCTGTCCCTGAGCTAGTGGCTCCTACGGAGGAGGGCGACGGGCATAGAGATCCTGGAGCGGCGTCGAAGGAGGACCGGGACGGCCGGGAAGAATGACGGAAGGGCTGAGGAGAGCCGCTTTTCGCCCAGGCAGTCCCGGGACGTCCTCGAGGTCGACGGCAGGAGCGGGCAGGAGGGAGCGGGAGCGCCTGTGCCTCGGCACGGAGCAAGGGCGGAGTAGAAGTGCGCAGCCACCACCGTCCCCTCAAAATGGCAGCGCCTGAGTCACACAGGCGCCGCCCTACCCGCACCGCTGGCGCGTACCAAGTGTTCGCGCCTCCGGGGGAGTGGCGCGCTGTTGTGGTCCAGGCAGTAGACTTCAGCTCCGGTAACCACCGTGCACACGCCTTGTCGACAATGGCAGGAAGGAGAGTACAATAGCGGCCTGGAGCGTCTCCGAGCCCTCACCACACCAGAAATCTGCACTTCCCTGCTCTTTTTTTCCCTCCCCCCTCCGGTGACGCCTCGTGTAACCGCCCGCTCGCCCCGCGTGKTGTCCGCGGGACAAGGACCCGGATGGGGCTGCTCAACGCCGTTCTCGGGGGGGGGGGGCAGTGGTACCATGGCTCTCCCCGCCCGAGGTGGTACCTCCCGGGGSCAGCTCCCCTCMCTCCCTCCCTCCCGACAAACGCCTGTTCCCCGAGTCCCGTCACCTTACGGGAATGCTCAAGCTTGTTTCAGCCTTAAGCGTGGTGATGTTATCGGTAAACAACTCTTGTAATGGCATTTTACGTAATTTGGTCCGTCGGAGTTTGTATTCGGCCGTCCCACATGGGAGAAGTAACACTAAATAAACCAGCAATTAAAGTCCGACATGTRTTCAAAGCTGACATGGTGACATAGTCTGCAGCACTTATCTCGCCACAGCACTCAGTGTGACAGTCCGTGCTCCGCCGTGGCGGTCACAGCGCTTCCCGAGGAGGCTGACTAAGTTTTGTAAATAAGTAATTGCTGTTCCAGAGACACAAACCTAATCCTTGGAGAGAAGCGGGTTTATTTCTGTACTACAAGGACAGGCTTATGCCTCCTTCCCTTCCCCTTGTCTGCAAGAGAGGAGGAATGCCATGGAAGCAATGGAAGTGAAACGAGCAYAGAGCGTGTTATTAAGCGTTCTCCCTGTGGGAAGGCCCAGGGCGAGCAGGAGGAATTGCCATCATCAACTGGTCCCGGGCATTTGCTGGCCCACCCCTTGCCCGAAAGCTGGCCGGCCAACATCCTCCGGACTGCTCCCGCAGCGCCCGGCAGCGCAGCTTCGCACCGGGGAGCCCAAGGGTGTGAGCTGCTGGTTTGTGCCCCAGCAAGGCTCAGGCTGCCACCATGGCTGAGCGCATCTCCCCCACCTTTCCCTGGATCTGGCGCCTGTGACTCACCGCAACAGCGGCGATGTTACTGAGATTACGGGCACAAGACAAGTGCGGGCACCGTCTCTCTCATTTGATCGCGTTTCAAAGCCCATGCAGCATGGTGATGGCACTCTACAGTAATTCCGTATTTCAATCTTTGTTCCCCCAGTCTCTTACTTGTCCCTGCTGATCCCTCTTGTTCTCGCCTGACCCTCAAATTAGTTATTTTCCTTTAGCACACCTTTTCTCTACAGTTTCCCTCGGACACCTCTCTCCTAGGCAGGAGCTGTGTGGCACCCTCTTGGACATCATTATCTTGCCCAGGTGTTACTCAGACTCTGATGCAAACACTCTTCTTGCTTTCCCTGACGCAGGCATTGCCCAGAACATTCCTCTGTTGTTTGAACAAGAACAGAACAGAAACAGATAATTTTTACTTAGAGATTGCTGTTCAGTCCTAATGGGCGACGCCTATGGAAAATAACCCTTTATTTGGTGATGAAAAGCAAGGCAGCTAAATAGGAGGATTACATTAGCTCTGCACTTCYATGGCTATTTCAGAATAGCAGAGATTTTTAACTATAACATAAGACTGTCCTTAAGGAGAGCCGCGTTTAGATAACCGCTCTCCCAGCCAGTTTTGTCCAGTTTTGTTTTCCACGCTGCCCTGTGTGACATTTTGTGCTGCAGTCTTGTGCCCGCTGCTATTTTAAGCCATGACTCACACTTGGCCTGTGACCCTCTTTGTGCCGGCACAGAAGGCTCGGCTCTGCAGCACCGCTTGACGTGGGGATTGCCCCGGCACAGAAGGCCGGCGGAGGGAACTGGCACCTTGCCCACCTGCAGAGGAGAAAAGAASGAGTTTTCTTCCAGCCCAGTGACTCCAGCTGCCCTTTGGAGTGTAGGGATGCAGTCACAAGGGATCAGGCAGCTGCCTAGCCCCAGGTTGAGGAAGCATCCAAAAAATTTCGTCAAATGTAGTGCTGGCGTAAGAGTAGTTTTTCTTCTGGAGGGTTTTCTATGAGGATAGGAATATGAATACTTAGATTAAATATATATACATATATATGTGTGTGTGCGCGCCTGTGTCAAGGAAAAGGGAAATCAAGTACAAAGTATTRTGTATTAAGGAGCCACCACCACCTGTCTTCTGCAAACTCAGGCTGCTCAAATTCTTTCAGAAAGGGATGGGGAGCTGGAATCACTCCAGGTTCCTTCTGTGGAGACTGCTGCTCCTCCTTATATAGACAACTTCCTTTCTTTAGCAATCTCAGAGAAATGTTTTTTTCCCTTTTGCTCACTGGCTAGTAAAGGTACCCTGACGACATTTACACAAATGAGTGCCTTAACCAAACCAAGTATGTTTATTATACATTTRCATGCAGAAATATTTGCAYTATTAAATTCATGAGTAATGGTTGAGTCTTGTCCTACTTTTATGTAGTTGTGCTTCTTTTCCTTCATCATGCACAATGATGAAGCTCATAGAGCAGAAAAGTATCATCTTAGTTAAAATATATGTTGAAAAGTCATATCTCTTACTGAATGGAAGGAGAGTTAAGACTTTGCAAAATAAATATTTGTATGCTATTGATCCATAATTCTCTTGACTGGATAATTGCTTATTATTGTTATGCTTCATACTGGTTATGCAATGCTGCATCATTTATAAGAGAAGCTTGTGGACCTGAAAGCTGGGTGCATATTTTGCAATAACAATACTTCATCCAATGACAGACTGCCTYTCTTCAAATCCAATTTAAAACAATATAAGGACTATCACTGAGAAAAGAGAAAAGTGCATGTTGTACAAAACAAACCTGACAAGTAGGTTGTGGCATTATATGCAGTAATAGTTCTCTTTTTTTTTAGGTTTAAATCCCATTAACACAGCAAAAATAGTGTTTCTTGTGCACATTAAATCCAGGCTGAGCAAAACAGTCAGCAGAGTGGGTCAGCTTCTAATTGGTTAGTACAGCACAGACACATTGGCTGGTGCTCTTGAGGCTTTCCCCCAGAGTGAGGAGGAGGACTGTGCAGGACACCAGGTAGCTGCAGTTCTGTACCCTGGGAGGAGYCAGGTGCACACAGACCCCTCTGGGGACTGGGATCTCAGCACCCAGAAATCCCAGCACCACTGGGATTTCTGCCACCCTGCAGAAATACAGAATCCAGCAGCATGGGCAACGGCCTATGTGAAGGTAGGAAAGATGTGGTTGCAAAAGTATATCCCTTGGGAGACAAAGTGACTCGTGAAGTTTCGAGAAACAACGAAAATTTAGAATATATGGTTGCTGGCTTTTCTTCTCTGAAAAACTGGTATTTTCTAGTCACCATGTTTACATATCTTCACTGTTTTCAGTGAAATCAAGCACTAATTTGAGTAATACATTGTGCTTTTTCTGTAAATTAAAAACTATTTATAACCTTATAAATACACCTTGTTGTTTTGAGTTTCTTTTCCCTAAAATTTCTGCAATTTTGAAGTCTAATTCCTGTTTTCAGAATTAYATGCTTACTCATAAGCATGTGGGCAAAACTGTACTCTAATGCCTCTGCTCTTTATTTCCAGCTTAATAATCAGTTATATAAAAATTATGAATCTCCAGTTAATAATTAGTTTTTAATAGATTGTTGCAAATTGTTATATATGTTAYGGACATAYTTAGGAAGAGTTTAAATAGATTCTGTTATCTGTCTTACGTATGTTCCACACATGCTGTACTGTATGTTAGAAGTACTATCAGCCCTGAAGCTACTGCTTCAAAAGCAGAACTATGATTAATTCAGTGCCAAATATTTATGCATCAGACTAAAATAAATTAGTCTGACTAAAATAAATTAGAAATTCTTTGTGAATTCAAACAAGACAAATAAGTTGGTAATTAAAACTCTTTCATATACTTCAAAACATACTGATTCACTCTTTTCTGCCTTCGGAGAAAACACGAGTTTCTAAGGCTCAACAGGAATGCTTTTGTGTAAAGAAATGTCAGTGTTTAATGTGTACAACATTCCTTATATTGTGTTCTGAACCCAGTTAGAATCACAGATTCATAGAATGACTTGGGTTGTCCACCACTGTCCACCTCTTGTCATTATGGACAGCAGTGGACAGAAGAAAATTAACTTTATCCCTGCTAAAACTAGCACAGCACTGCTCAGCTTTTGCTACAATATTAAGCTTCATTTGACACTTGCTTATGTGTCACCTTCTAGTTTCAGGGAGGTGTGGTCATAAAAATGGGACATAGGTTCTTGGGCATGTGAAGTATTGGTCCTAAATAACCAATTTTATTTGGTTTATTATTATTGTAGGTTTTGTGTTTGATCAGCAGATGCTTGCAAGAATAAGGGTAAAACTTGAAAAAATTTGTTTTCTTTTTTTGTCTGTAAATAAGAAACACTTATAGACAACTGTAGCTTATAATTAATTTGTAGCATTTATAGAGCATGTTTAATTTTTAAATCTTAAAGCACTTGTATAAATAATGTTTTTAAAGCTATAGGTTAGGACCTAAAAGTGTTTTAAGGGATGTCTTAGGGACTCATACAGTACTTAACTAGGGAAAAAAATAACCAAGTGAGATGTAGATTTTTCTTCTCATTTTTTCACCTCTGAGATACTCAGGATCACTGTTCACACGTCAATCTTTTGTTCTAATACATGAAAATTTTGTCCTCTGGAGAGATTTAATAATTAACTGTGGCTATCATCGAAACCAGCTGGCATTAGAATTATACCCAGATTGTGCCGTGTATATAATACTTTCTTCGGGCAGCGTTTAATTAGCATGCAACCTTCCAYGCTGATGAAGCCAGGCAAAAGAAGGCAAACGGGGAATTTCTTGTCGGTAACACACGAAGCACGACCGAAAAACAAGAGGC